ATTGCTATTACATACATATATAAATATATCTTGGTGGACACAATCAATTCTATAATGAATCGAAAAATAATATATTTTATTCACCAATTGTATAATACTTTAATAGTAATATTCAGATAAGGAACCATGACTTTTACAATCCAAAATAAGAATTTGCTATGTTAGGGCACACATATCCTAACAGCGTCAATTGATTTCTTGTAGTGCTCAAAGGGGATTCTCAAGAACTGGCGTTCGAGTTTTAGAGACTCTGCAAACTGAGTGAGCTTCAATGGCGGAGTTGTGACAGCGGCAAAGACAACCTCGGTGACACAGTTTAAAACAACCCGAATTACTTTTTTTCTTGCTAACCAAACAGAGTAAATTGTTTAGTTCTTATAGGATTGTATTTTTACCAAACAGAGTACTTTGCTTACCAAACTCAGTTTCTTGAGGGCACAGTTAGAGAGAGAAAGACATAGGAGAGAGAAGATAAACCATATTTGGGGGGCGTGGTGTAGAAGAGAGAGAAGTGGGTCTAGAACTTAAGGCATCGTTTGCCTGGGCTGTTTCCTTCCTTTTTTTTTCTTTTTTTTTAGTTTTTAATTTTTTTTTACAACTATAACATTTTGCAAATCATCTGAATTACCTTCTTTGGTTGACGCGAATTCCTTACAAATCACTTTCCATTTTTTAAATTCACCTTACAAATTCATTCAATCAATAATTCTCCAATTGTAATATTGATTCGCAATCTTTTGCCTAGAGACCAATCTCACTGGTAGTTTAAGTTATCATTAATCCCAATTCATTAATCATAATATTGATTATTGAACTCTATTTGACTATGAATAAGAATACATAAATTCTATATATAAGGTAATGTGCCTAAAACACCCTTATAGTATGATATTAGTAGCAAATATACCCCCTTGGGTATTTTCGATAGAGTAAAAGGGCAAAATAGGTATTACAGTGTCAAATTTCCTACAGAGGGGTAATTTTGCACAATTTCAAAAGATTAAGGATGTTTATTGCACGCTTTTTTTAAATAGGGGATAAAAGTGATACAAAAAGTATACTTCAAGGATGTTTTCTGCACTTTCCCAATAAATACCTACGGTTGCAACATAATGTTTTGTTATATTATTATATATGTGTGGACAAATATAGATGTACATACATATGTAAGTTATGCAAATGTATATATAAATATACATGGTTTGTACAAAGTTTACTGGTCAAAATTTTTGGATGTGTTTCCTCATCTTGTTCAACATTCTTATCATCGAAACTAACCACAAAATATGACCTAGGGTTTCAGGTATAGAAGCCTGGGACTTTAGTTAGGAACATACATACAAGAGAGAGAGAGAGATGGAGAGATTGAGAGAGAACATTTGTTAGAAAACGTGGGTTAAATGAATTTGATTGATGGGCTTGTGTGTGTGTGGCCCGTGTGCAGCAGGTAAGACACACTAAACTCGTAAACACGTCCACTATTACCCCATTGAAAATTATGGTTTTTTATTTATTATTATTATTTTTTAATCTTAAAAAAAACGTATCCCCTAATTTTTAAAGCGGCTTTGGAGTCCAAACACCTTTTGAGAATGTCCTTGTCAAATAGCCTTGGCCTTATGCAAACAGGGGATTTTGTCGGGTGGATTTGGATTTATAAATCCTCCACCGATTCAAAATCTCCTTCTGGAATCCTCTACAGACTACAGACACACTCTTGACTCTTGAGCACAATTCTATGGTCATATAACATGTAATGTCATATTAAATATATTTATAAAAATATTTAATTTCGCTGCACAATAAAAAATTTTAATAGTTCAATATCAAAGGTTCTGTTTGATTTGAAAATTTTAATTAACAATCAAGTGGGACAGAAACTAAAATTTATTTCCCCATCTGCTTAAATAAGATTCGAGTTAAAATTTTCTCAAATAATAATAGACCTCAGACAATTGAACAACCAATTATGTCCAATGAGCCCAACTGTTCCGTCTGTGGACTACCCAACCCAGTCATGCCATATGGCTTCCTCCAGCCCAACAGTCTCAATTCTAGAAGTTTCCGACTTTCAACCTCCACTATTTAATTACAGTATTGTCCCATAAAACATTCTAATTTCATTATATGTTACACGTGTTGATGATTATCATCAATTAAAAAAAAAATGTTTTAGAGATATCATCAAAGTAAATAATCAGTCTAATAGTCTTGACTTAAATTAATTATTGGGAGTGACTCCCGTAAAACACTGATTATCGTTTTTTGTTTGTTTGTTATATGAGGAATAGATATTAAGCGTGTTTGTATGTTGACTGATTTGAATTGTAAATATTGAACACGTACAATAGTCTCTCCTAAATCTAAAATTAATCACACGCTTTGACTGGTTCAAAATATGTGTATGAATAAATATTATTTAGGATGGTTAGAGTGAATATTAAGTTTGGCAAAGACATAAAAACTTTGGTGGCATCACAGAGGAGATGTTGTGATTACAAAATTACCGTGATAACCACGCGAGTCCATGTCTCCCGTCTCCCTCACCGATATAATTTGTTGACAATTTCAAAGCCATCTCCCTCTCTATAGGTAGGCCGGTCCTGATAAGTCTTCATATGAAAATCAATTTGTGTCCTCCCCTCCATTCATTTTAAATTGGTTGTACAAAATAGTTACTGTATTTCTTTTATACTATTATTTTTTATCAATAAATTAATCACATACTAGAAATGTAAAACTCATTCTTTTATATATATACACAATACACATCTTAGTCCTTTATTTCAAAGTTAATTATAAGTATTTGTTTATGATATCATATTATCAAAATAGATAAAATAAATCAATTCCGATAGATAGATATGTATGGGGAACACCTTAGGAGAAATATGCCTTTAGGGTGCGTTTGGTTAACGTGAAATAGGTAGAAAAGAAAAGAAATGAAAAAAAAAATTAAATTTTGGGAGTTTGGTTACCTGAAAAAGAATTTTTTTTGAAAAAGTAGGATTCCCGCATCGATAAATTTTTTCAAAATATTTTCCCGCACAAACACAAGAAAGTTTACTTTCTCGCACAAAATTGTCATTTTATTTCCAAATTTCCTATTATGCCCAATTGTTTCTCCATTTTTTTTTTTTCACATGACCAATTCAGATTTAGAAAATATTCCAACAACTATTATATATTGGGACACATAATTGGATTTTATCCAATAGGTCGTTACATAAAAATTTTGGAAATAAATTAAGAGTTGAATAGTATAATATTAAATAATACAACTTTTAATTTTTATCAATATCTCAATACAAATATGAGAAGAGATTAATGTAAGTTATCATATTATTTATATGACATAACAATTTCACGTAGATAGAAATCAATATAATATTTATTTTTTTACTATTTATACTGCTTTGAACTGAATAGAGTTTTATATTGTGTGATTTTTACAAAGAAAAATTTGCATAGAAGTGGTTCATATTCATAAAAAATATGAAAGGGGACTGATAAATTATGCATAACCATAAAATTATTATGCATGAATTATAAAATATGTTACTTTTGCATCATAATTTTTATCCTAGAGTTGTCATTTAATGTTTCTTCGAGAGGTCTTAAAAAAATATATATTTAATAATTCAATAAAATATGAGTATGTTATTATAAATGAACTATATTCTATATATAAATATAAATAATTACTATTGAAAACACAAAATAAAAAAATCTAGCAAAAAAATGCAGTCCTCCTTAGTTTTTTTTTATAATTTAAATATGAATATAAATAATAATAATTATTATTAATCCATTATTTTATGATAAAACATGAGTATGCTATGATAAATAAATTATATTTTACATATAAATATAAATAATTATTATTGAAAATAGTAAATAAAAAGACTACAACTAAAATACAGTCCTCCTTAGTTTGTCTAATTTAAATATGAATATAAACAATAATAATAATAATTATTATTAATCCATTATTTTACTATTTAATTGCCAAAAATTAATATAAATAATTGGGTATAAAGATAATTCATTTTTTAATATTTGAAATCATGAGAGTAGTTTTGGTAAGCAAATCATTTTCTTTTTCTTTTCATTCTATCCAAACTAATAAAATAATATTTTCCCACAACTTTCTTGAAAATTTTTCTTACTAACAAAATGCACGCAGGAAACTTGATTTTCCTTTCTTTCACTCCACTTTCACTTTCCGTCTAATCAAACACACCCTTAATGATCTAATTTAATAAAAAATAATGTTTAAATTTCCTTTTAATATATTAATACATCTGCAAAAATCTAATTTTTTTTTTTCAATGATAGAGTCTGGATTAGTTACCAAACTCTTATCCTGAAAATAGAGCCCATCACCAAAGGGCCTTTGGTCCAATGGTATAACTTTCTCATCTTCAAAGAAGAAGGGAGGGGTTCGACCCCTGATGTGGACAAAAAAGTGTGTGTATGTTCGCTTTAAAAAAAACAAAAAACCGACAACGATAATAGTTTGAGGGAATCATGGATATGGTTTGTTGAATTTTTTTATTTATTAAATAAACAACAAGAAATACTGCATTATATTACAATGTCATTATTTATCTAAAATAATAATAATACTGTAATACTTAACTCAAATCATAAGTATTTTTTATTCAACTGAACAGTGAACACAAGATTCATTCTTCACAACTAAGCCACGCGCTAAAAATAAAAGAAAATTTTCAATTCGAAGGAAAAAAAAAAAAATGTTAAGCCGTCTCTAACGCTTTATTCTATGAAATCCTCTTTATTTCTTGATGGAAGCATCCATGCGACGTAAGCAAGGAGTGAACATATAAGGCTACTAGTTTATCAGTCAAAATCTGTTTCTCTCTCTATGATTTTACTCGTCCGACTTCTTCGGTCCAAGCAGTTTTGGAGGATAGACTGCATCCCCTTATAACACGCTTTTCAGTTCACAATCTTCAGATATAAGCCCCCACAGTCCACACACCTCCCTCTCTCTCTCTCTATATATATATAGATATATATATATATACACATACATACACACACCTCCCTCTCTCTCTCTCTCTCTCTCTCTCTCTATATATATATATATATATATATATATACACATATATACATGCCGGTGCTGCAGTCAATCAATTACTACTAATGGCACCAACAATAGTAGAAACTCCCAACCTCAGCACCACCACTAACACCACCGGCACCATCCCAAGAAAACCCAGACGAGTCTGCTTCTCATTTGCAGCCTACTCCAAGAACGTCATTGGCCACCTCCAGACCTGCAACGTACCCATCGACCTCGGCCTCACCGACTCCGAATTCTCCGCCATCGAGTCCTCCTTCAACTTCATCTTCCCTCCCGACCTCCGCTCCATCCTCCAAGAAGGCCTCCCCGTCGGCCTCGGCTTCCCCAACTGGCGATCATCTTCAAACCAACAGCTCCAAATCCTAACCCACCTCCCAATATTGGGCATATGCAAACAAGTCTCAAACCACAATTTCTGGATCGATTCTTGGGGTCACAAACCCAACGGCGTCGATCAGGCCGTGAAATTGGCCAGAACGTTCTTGAAGAAAGCCCCATTTCTTGTTCCGATATATCGGAACTGTTACATTCCGTCCACGCCCAATTTGGCGGGAAACCCGGTGTTTTACGTGGAGGGAGGTGATGTCAGGTTGTTAAGTTTCGACGTCGCCGGATTCTTCCAACAGGTGGATTTCGGGTTGAAGGACGGCCCGTGGAGGGGACCCAGTTTGCCGAATTTGTCGAATGCGCCGGCGTGGGCGGCGACGGAGGCGAGGAGGATTGAGTTCTGGACGGAGATGGTGGAGAGAGAGGAGGCGCGTGGGAGCACGCGCGGGTGGTGGAGTGGGCATTTGGGTGGGTGTTTGGAGGAGGTGTGTTGGACGTTGAGAGATGGAGGGTGGAAGGAAGAGGAAGTTAGGGAGATGATGATGATGGACGGTGGTGATGGGCTTGATCATCATCACAGTGAGCGTCATCATAATAAGGGTGTGGTGTGGCACGTGCGGGGCTTGTCACTTAGATTGCTGCGTGCGGGGTGGAGCACGGAAGATGTGGTGGACTCGCTAGGTTGTCACGTTGAAAATGAAAATGGTATTTTTCCAGATGAAGACACTTGGTTTGACTTTCATCATACAAAGAACTGCTGTCTCTTGAAGGCTCGATAGTTGAGACTGGAGGCTAGGTGGTGATGATGATCAACGCCGCAGAATGAAGCAGTTGATGGACCTGCACTGACAATGTGCCAAAACTTGCTGATTTTCCTGGTTGCCGTCTGGTGAATAGACTTTGTTTTTAGAAATTTTGACATATGCATAATACACAGTTTTGATTGTAAATACTAGTAATTTTTATATTATGGATGGAATGGAGATGTATAGTTTATTCCTGGTCCGGCTTAATTCTTTTAGTTTGTTTAATTATTTTTTTTTATATTGTTTATCTTGAATTTTATTCCTTATAATAAGATTAAAGCCAATAATTTGTATTCTCCTAATTTATGTAATTCTAGTCAATGCTATTCTTCTTCTTACCGCCATGTCCCCCGAAATATTTATTTTAAAATTTCCTTCCTTTTCTTGTACAATAAAGAGGAATCACAAAGCTCCAAACAATCCGTAATGGAACCGTAACCAGTAAAATATAATGGGACAAATTCTTCTTGTTTCAATCGGTAATCTATCTAGTCGTCTTTGTAATCTATAAAACCCATGTGACTTGATAAAGTAAAATGTTAACAACAAATTTTCGGCAATCTTGAAAAAATTCTATATAATTGTAGCATTGATGAAGATGTGTAGTCTATAATGTGGTCGTCGTTTTGTAGCATCGTCTCATTTACTCGGTGCTGACTTTAAAGTGGATTTTGTAGGGTCACTTTGTATTTGTGTCTCTCTCACAATTCGTAGTGATCTCTCGATCTGGCACAACCCACACACGGGTCTTAATCTTCTGCTACTGGACAATGAGACCCACAAAGCACAGCCCATAACCCCATTTCAACTCTCTAGGTTAGTCGTAGCCGTGTAGGGTCTGTCAACAACACATCCGACCGACTACACAGATTTGTGCTTCTTTCTCCCTCCATTTTAGTCTTCCTTTCTACATCAATTCACATAAGATTCCTTTGTTTTTCAAAGAGGATTGCGTGACATAAGAAAAAACTGTCCAAGACAATTCAAGATACACATTTAAAACGTTATCATTGAGTATTCTTTTTCTTTGTGGGTGACCACAGGTCCAACCAATAATTAATTTACAAGCAAATCAACAAAATTGAATTGAAATAAAATATAAATATTACTTCAATGCAATGATTTGTTTTTCTAATTATTTGTTTTTAAGACTTTAAGTGAAAGATTGCTAAATTGGAACACCGGTATTATAACAAATTTATTTGTCAAACAATAATTCTATAAGAACTTCCAACTTTATGCATTATAATCTATGAAATAATAATTTTATTAAAAAAATTACTAATTTATGAGAGAATTACTACACTTCCTAAAAGAGTTTGGAAGAAATAATTAAAGAATTACAAATGTATCTTAACACAATGATTTCCCTTATAGGAATACGTTTTTTTTGCCCAATCAAAGTGAAATTTCTTGAACCAAATTTTTATGCCCAATCAAAATGAATATCTTGAAATCTAAATGACACTAACACAATCAAAATAAAACCAAACTTTAAAAAAAAAAAATGTTTTGCTGAAAGAAAATCTAAATTACCTCAATGGCTCAATATGCAATAATATAATTTACAGAAAAAAAATACCTCATGAGATTGAGATCATAAAAAGAGATAATATTATATCAGTTAGAATAGAAAAAATCAATCAATCAATCACAAATACAAAAAAAAAAAAAAAAAGAAAAAGAAAAAAAGAAAAAGAAAGAAAGAATATGATTTACATGGAGGAAAAAAAAAAAAAAAACCTTTGTAAAAATTGGAGAATTAGTTACTGCCTACAGAGACAGGAGACTAAGAGTTCAGTTATGGGAAAATGAAAATCCGAGACAAGATTATGATGAGCCAACAACCAAGAGTGTTCTGTATTTTTTTTCAGAAGTAAGAATGCTTGGTGTTTGGTTTGCACTTAACCGCTTGTAGCTAGGCTGATGATCACATATATAAAATATATATAAAGTATAAGAGACATTTGACCACTCAAAGGGCAGAAAACATATAAATAAATTTTTTATTATCCAACAGAGAAAAAATATATGAGGTTGTGTGCCTACTTTAAAGAAAATGGCATAAAGAGAAAAGAAAAGGCAAAAGGCATAAGATGATCATATGATTCATATTAAATTTTGTCAATGAAATATTAAAATTGGCTAATTTGAGGCCTTTTCAAGTTTTAAGTCAATTGTCTTATTTTTTTTTTTTAGGTCCATCATCTATGGGCTGCAAAATTTGAGGAACTATAAATCTTGAGGCCCTAGGCGACCACCTTAGGTCAGCGCCGGCCTGGTTAACTAATACTTATTATCTAAGAACCTTTTTAAACCGTGTAGTAGGTAAGTAAGCACTACACTCTACATAAGATATAGTTTGTACAACGAATTGGATCTTCCATGATTATTGGCAGCTTATTCTTTTGGGACATTGGACTTAAAATTAGTCCAAGTGTATTTTTGATAACCAATTTCGAACGTGAACTAAGATTCGAATCTATTTTGATAACTTTGGGTAAGATAAATTGAAAATTGTAGATCCGAAAGAAATGATATGAAGTTCTTTTTCATTGAAGCAATATTTATATTTATATATATACACACAATAAAATGTTACATTTGGGCCCAAGGAGGGCCCAGAATTGAAATAAAAGTTATTTAATGGCCGAAAGAATCGAGGCCCAAGATGAAGAAGCCCAACGATGAACAGTTAAAAAAAAACAAAAAAGAAAAGTAAAGAAAATATTATATATTTTTAAATCTTCAGCTGCCTCGGAATGGCTAGCTACTTATGAGATGTGTTTCTTTTTATCAAAAATATTATATATTTTTAAATTTTGTTAGTAACAGCTATATCAAATTATATTAATAATTTATGTTCTACATTCTCATCAAACCTGTCAAGTCTCATACATTCTTTGGAGTAGAGAAGTTCTTCAAACTTCATTATTTTATAAGAAAACCTTTTTAAAAAATTCTTACATTCTGAAATATTTATTGGCTACTAAATTCAAATTCAGTAATACTACCATGGGATTGACCTTGTGACAATTGTCATAACCTATTTGTCTTTTTATCATGATTATAAACAAATATTTATTTGCCTTTATGTGGTGATTATGCACAAACTATGAAAGTGAGTATTATTCTACACTTTCGTATTAAAATTCATTTACAATATGATTACACAAATTAGTCCAACTTCTACATTTTTCTTCTCTTGACTTCATTAGTGTTATTAAACTATTTTAAATGTCTCCTATAATTTTATTTTATAATATTTTGAATTGATTTTTACAATGAGATCAGTTTTAAATATTGACTACGTGACTTTGTAAATTTTGCATTATTATTTTGGGGAGGCTATATTCACACTTTACTTTTATATGATTAGACTATACATTTTTTAATTTTTTTTAAAAAATAAAAAGACGCTAAGCTACACCCATTATTTTATGATACCATAACTATCCCTTTTTATTTTATTTTTTTAACCTTCTTTACTTCTTATAAATTTTTTAAAAGAAAATAAAAAGACCCTCAGCTGCACCCATTATTTTATAATACCATAACTAACCCTTTTTATTTTATTTTTTTAATTATTTTTTTAACCTTCTTTACTTCTTATATTACTTTTTTTTTTTTTAAACAAAAAAATATCATTTATTAAACAGAAACAACATGCATCAGAAATTAGTTACCTTTTCACCAAAATAAAAAATAAAAAATTGCATAGAATTAAAATAAATTATGACAAGACCGGTTTAAAAGAGTTTAAGAAACAACATAATATAGACTTGAGCAAATTAACATCTCAACTAAAAAAAAAAAAAAAAAAAGACTTTCCAAAAAAAAAATTAACATCTCAACTTACCCACCAACATCGGAATTTTTTTTTTTTCCTTCTTAATAGCCAAGTGGTATGCATGGCCATTGAGGACTCTTTTTACCATAGAGATGATCGTATCAAGCACCATTTCTTACTATTCAAAGCAATGAACAGTTTTTTATTTTATTATTATTATATTTTTTTTATTCCTTTCACAAAATTTATGTTCTTGTGATTTTATTGTCGGACTTTAATCATCAATTAGGTGAAATTTAATATTCAAAACATTCTCAATTAATTTTAAAAAAATTCAAACTCAAAACTTGCAACATGAAAACAAAGAAAAAACCATTACCATTCTTAGCATGAAGGCAAGGATTCGAAAAATGAGAGAGAACAAAAATATTAGATATTGGAGAGAGGAATTGAAAAGATAATTCTCTAAAGATCTAAAAAGATAATTGTGATATTAGAAAAAAAAAAAAAAATTTAATTATAAAGTTATGATTAAAAGTGTCATTTTCTATAAGATTAATAGTTTAATTATAAAATTATGGTTAAAAGTTTTATTTTCTTTAAGATTGGGGGATGCTATTGTATAAAAGTGGAGCAGTCAATATGACCTTTTCATTATTTTTTTTTCAAAAATATTAATTTAAAAGAGTATTAATGACAATTAAAACCTCACCGCAACATTACTCAAATTTAAACATTGAAAACTAAAAACCAAATTAGGGCTTAGATATATAAAATTACTTTTTTTTTTTTTGGTTTCCAAATATATAAAATTACTTGAGTAAGTGTTAAAAAAAAAAAAAATTGACATGGCTCGTGAGGGACTTTCTGGGGAAGTTGCTACTCGAAGCTTTTAGAATGTTGAAGTTCCTTCCAAATTCTAATCACACTCTTGGGCAAGTCTCTAATTATTCTGTACCTCATACGAAGCAAATGTATCTTATTTCTTCCATATTTGAACACCTCCATTCGGGAGAGACTGGGAGAGAGGAGAGAGACGTGTGATTTACACACACAGGACAATGGCGACGGCGATGTTGAGATCTGTAACCCGAACGGCCGTCCGCGGTGGTTCACAGTCTCCGGCTTCCAAGCGAACCTTCGCATCCTCTTCCCGCCATGATGACGCTTGTATGAACATTCTCTCTTATATTCCTGTCTCTGAAGTTTTAAAGTCTATATATTCTAAATCTGATATCAATTGCCTATCTTATTGTGTGATTCGAATACGATTTTGATTAGAACAACTATGAATTTTGACTAAATTTTTTGAGCTTTGTTTTATGCACAAGTACGATTCTTTGATTGGATATCTAATTACTGCATATATATATGTATATATATTTCCCACATTTAGTTTGATTCACGATTATGGTTGCTACACGGCTTAATCCATATAATCTCATTGATTAAAAGGTTTTTGATTGGTAATTCTCTTCTTATCAGATGAAGCGGAAAAGTGGGAAAAGATTACTCATGCAGGCATTGCCGCGTGCACTGTTTATGGGATCTATACTCTTTCCAAGGGTCATCCCCACTACGAAGAGCCTCCTGTAAGATATATATATATATATATATATATATATTGGTTCATCTAAATTTCTTCAATTAATGATAATTTCACATTATGTGAACTCTCTCAAAGTTTATAATACACGAGGCAAGCACAAAAGTTGGGAAACGAGTTTTCATCACCTATCTTTTCCTCAATGAATCTCTGAAGCTAATTCCTTATTTGATTTCACCTTGTGGAAATACTTGTTTTTGTTCTTCATTTCTCATATTTGTTCACTCTGAATGCAGCCATACCCATATCTGCATACTCGCAACAAGGAGTTTCCATGGGGTATGTTTTGAAGTCTTGAATCAAGTGTTTATTTGGTTTTGTAACTATGTTACTAATGGTTTTTGGACTAAAGGTTTTGTCTATGCTTTTTTGCCTTTTTCTTTTTCTTTTTTTTGTTTTTTGTTTTTTGTTTTTTTTTTAATTTTAATTTTTTTAGTTTTCTTCGCCCCTCTGATACTGAAAAAGAGATAAGAAAGTATTTTACCTGAAAAAGGAAAACAACCGAGATTTTTAATTTTTTTAATACGATTTCCTGGTTGTAATGTCTGTTAGCTGGCAAATTTTATGGATTTTCTAGTTTAAAGCATCATTTCATTCCTCATATTTCAACTTTTATGCCTATTTCTGGACTGATAATGCTGACCTTATTCATGTCGATGTCTATGTAAAAATTTACACTTGGACATTTTCGGTCACATTATATAACAGATTTTGGACATGTCTATAACTTAAATATAAACTTTATAATTTGAAAACTTAGCTGACGCCAGAAGAGTAGATCACAAAAGCTTTATAATAGGGGTTTGTCCAATGTCCACACAGACCACACTCTAAGCAATAGCCTTACATGTCTAGCCTCTTAAATGTCCCTCCTTTAATAAAAAAACAAAGAAGATGGCATGTATACACGAACTTCACAAATCAAGCATGCAACGAAATAAAATTGTAAAGGGAAAGATATGGTAATAGTATAGTAGTATACATCACACAATTATGCATATGCGTTTTTCTTTTAACATTATTCACTTGTTATTGTAAGACTACAATTTGGTTGCTCCATGAGAGTACAATTTAGAACATATTCTTGTATGTATTTTACTGGTTTTTTTTTACTTTTAACCCTTGTAGTGCATAAAGAAAATAGAGAAATGTTGGGAAAATAAAAGGAAAAGCAACTGGTTTGCTTATAAAAGATCCAATCAAACTTGTTTTGATACAAGGGATCTACCATAAAAACACTTAGTTGTGATGAAGAGTCCTCTGACCACAAAATTGGTAGCTCTGTCTTGATTGCGATGTTGGGTCGTTTTACGATAGAAATATCAGATGCCAGCTGCTTTGCAATTTTTTATCTTAGAACCTGGGGTTATTTGTCAGCACCATCTCACCCCTCCAAGTACAAAGAAGCCAGGTCATTTTGCTTCAATAATTGAGCCATAACAAGCTCTTAGGGTTGAGGACCAAAAAATTTCAAGGTCCCATCCTTTTCTAAATTGTGATAATGGAATGAAGAAATTATGTGGGTGGGGGAATGAGTGCTGGTGTTACTTTCTTGGTTTTGTTGTAGATATGGTTGTGATAGCGGATTTTTGTCAGAATAGTGAAACTTTTTATCTGAAAAAGTAAAAAATGTCATTGAGATGTTGCAGAATATCCAGATCTTATTCTGTAAAGCAGTCCTTATATAGGAAGAAGCTGGTTAAAGGCTTTCACTGATGACATGAGGACTTGCTTGGAACTTAATTGCTGAAGTCTTTCAGATTATTTGTTATTTTGTTGAAATCTGATGCTAGTTTTAACAAATAATGCTTTTCTTGCATTTAGTTTCCCCCCTTGCATGCAGCATATTCATGCTTCAATTTTTCAAGTATTGTAAGTTCTTTTGGGGATGAAATTATACTTCCATGCATCATCCTTTTGTTTTATCAAGTGTCGGTACATTTTCAGACAGATTCTCAATGCCCTACAATATGAAGAAACTGATTTGTTTATTTGATGAATCCTATGTTATGATGTTCAGGTCCCAACGGCCTTTTTGAGAAGAAACACTGAACCTTGAGAGACAACATCGTGGGAGTAAAGCTAGGATTGATGATTGTTAGTCGATCGTGTGATGTCTTTTTAGCCACCTTGAAGTTCTCTATGTATGTTTTGCATTGTGTACATCTGAAGTGGACTTTGAAAGCAATTATGAGGTAGGTATGTTGTAGTTTTGTGTTCTAATATTTTGTAAGTGAAGTGGTGTAGTTGTATAGAAGTGGAACATGCTTTACTATTAGGTAGGAAAAGTGGGTAGTTCGTATCATTGTATAAAGTATTATAAACACAAGGTTTCTAGCAGCGAAGAGGGGAGATCAGTTGTTTGTAATCAGATCATGTAGAAGTACAAAACCCTCCCATTGAGCCCTTTATTACAGAAAGTAGATCTCTCACTCGTTCCTTGACAAAGGAACGGAACCCATTGCCATTGTACTTTATGGAACCCTTGTTTTGGGACTTTATGTTGCAGGTTGTTCATCCTTCCATGTTTCCTATTCTGTCACTTTGTTTTTCATACTATGATTGCTGCGAAATATAATTTCCTGAATAGTTTGGGGCATTCTTTTTCTATGTTTTTCATCTTCTCACTTTGTTTCTCATATTATGGTTGCTGCCAAATAAGATTTCATGGATAGTTTGGGATGTCCTTTTTCTAGCCCAATATTCACATTTGTGTGTGTATGTATTGTTGGTTTCAGTATGTATGGTTGAGGTGTTCTTTACATTACCTGTCTATCTTTGAATAATGTGGCTGCTGTGTGATTGATGGTTTTTTGGCAATATTATGTATAATGTTCATTGATAGGTTGTTCGCTGATGGGATATTGGGAATAGGAATCAAAATGGGGTTGTCTCCTCTTTGATATATATATATATATATATAAATTGGTAGAACTACAATGAGCGATCTATACATTTTCCTTGACCTGTTTTGATAATATAAATTTGTGAATTGTGTTGTCAAACTAAGTTAATTTTCTTTCCCCTCCTGTAACTAGAACATTGCTCTTTTTATGAACTGTAACATGTTTTATGATTTATGTTTAGATTTTGAGGTATAAACAGTCTACCGAGCACACTAGTTTGTCTTTTTGTCTTAGTGGCTTTGAGTCTTAACCCCCAAACTCTGAGTCTTGGTTTCAAGAGAGGCAAAGGAAAAAAAAAAAAAGTGTCTACGGACCCTTAAGTAGTTAAGTTGCATTTTTTGTTCCTTCAACATGAGAGTTCGAGGTCTCTACTGAGGGCAATAGTTATGTGTGTTTTAGTTGTTTGTCAGAATTGCTTTATGACAGAAGAAGAAGAAGAATTGCTTTATGATTTATATTGGGAGTTTGTCTTACCTATCACGGAAGAAGAAGAATTGCTCTTTATGATTTATCTTGGGAGATTGAGGTATAAACAGTCTACCGAACCCCTAGCTCGAGGTTGAACTTTGAAGATATAAAAAGACGCACCTGATTATGCTTCCTTCCCTTTTGTTTTCTTCATATTTTAATGTTTCTTTATCTATTGTCTGAGAGCAAAACTTTATCAACGTAGATGGCTAAGACTTTCATTCAGAATGAGATAAACGACCAACTTCAGTTGAATGAAAAAAAATGCAAAATGTTCAGCAGTCTTCAGTGATAGGCAGTGAAGAACCCTCTCAGAGTCTCAGATGAGGTCTCTCTTCGTCCTCTCCTCCTACTCATCTTGTCTGTTTCAAACCCTAATTTCCTATAAAACACTAGTTTCTCTTTCTTTCCCCGCCAGGCAGAAGTCTTCTCTCTGCTCTTTCCTCCTTTTCCCCCTATCCTTTTTCTCGTCAGAGAATCCTGTTTTCTACAATAATTTTTCTCCTTGTTGTTTTCCCTTATTTTGCTTGTAAATGGTAATCACACGATTCCAGATTTTCAGTACTGCAAATCTTTTACTTAATTTAGCTGTGGTTTTCTTGATTTATTGTTTTTTCTTTTCCCTTACTTTTGGGCCATGGCTTTATATTAATTGCTGCTGCTGTAAATTGTTGCTTAGAAATACACACTCCCACTCACACACTTTTTATGCCCACACTAGGGCTCGAACCCCTCCCCCTTCTCTTTGAGGATAGGGAGGTTATACCATTGGGGTAGATGCCCTTTGGTTTAAATTGTTGCTTTACACAAGCATGCTAACTTTGCAAAATTGTGGTATTTGGTTGGTATTAGTTCAGTTGCAACCTGTAATAGCTAAGACTTGTGTGATCTTGCACCCCATGTCATATTATACTTATAGCATGTTCGATGCAACCCCATGCTTATGCTTCACTCAGACTTGTGCCTAGCCTTGCGTACTACGGCTCGACTCCAGCAAGCCAAACCTTAGCGTGCCTTGATTCTTTAATTGTGTCTTTTTGTTTGTTTTACCTATAACTCAGGTTTAATTCTAATTTTCCCACTTCACTTTGTTCATTTTCTGCTCTCTTAAAATTAGATCTCCAAACTGACCCTTCACTAACAGGTGGTATTATTTATTTAGGCCGAGGCAACATTTTTCTTTGAACGCCATCCGTTAAGCCGTTGACAGATTTTCATTTTAGTTGTTGAAGTTTAATCAAATGCTGTAAATAATTTAGGAATATTAGATTATACTTAATTTAATAAAAAAAGAATACTGTATTTGATTATACTATATTATAAAATGCACAAAAGGTTATATATATAGTCACCATATATTTGCTTCTATACTTCCTGGAATAACCGGACAAGAAGAAAACGTACAGAACAATGACTTGGATGAATAATAATAGCCTCATTAGAACAGGACAATGACTTTGATAATAAAAATGGGACAAGAAAGAAAAGGTAGACAACAATAACATTGATGAATATTAATGGCCATCAAATGAGACCGACCTAAATAACGAACTCTTTAGAGATGTCACTTCTTTGCAACTGCGTCTTGATTGTTGTTTCCTTCAGTTTTGGCATCTGGAGAAGAATCTACTGGATCATTTTGGGTGGCATCAATCGTCTCATCTTGGGAAGCTGAAGAATTAACAGATTCGTTTCGACTTTCATCTGCATTGTTGTTTTCGTTAGAGAATGCTACCTTTTCTTCTGTTCCTGCTCCAGAATCAGTATCGAACTTGTTCTGAACTGTGGCTGAAGATTCGGAACTGTTCTCTGTCCCTGCAGGTGTATTGGAGTTGACATTCTGCTCATCTGAAACAACAGATTCGATAACATTAGAAGAATCAGAATCCACGGGTTCATCATTCGTGGTGTTTATATTCTCACTTCTTGTTGTCTGCATGTCATCTCCCGGAGAAGAATCAGTTGTCTCTCCATGTTGTGAGGATGAACTGGGAGTTTGTCCGTCACTTGTTGTATGGTCACTCTCCACTTGCTGCTGCTCATTGAAATCTTCTGTTACTGTTGTATTCGGATGGGAGCCATTCTCTGTCTCTAGTAAACTGGTCTCGTTCCCTTTCTCTTCATTGATCATCACTTCTGAAGAATTGTTGTGTTCAACTGCTTCACTTTCTTTCTCATTAGAGTCTGTCACATTCAGAAACTTGTTTGTATTATTCTCTTCTTTACCGCTTGATTTCCCTGCATCTTCAATCGTACTTACCTTCTCTATTTTTTCACCTTCGCCATCCATCTCTTTATTCTCTTTTCCTCTCTCTGAGCCTCTACTATCATCCTTTTCCTCAATTTCCTTCTCTTTTCCTTCGCTTTCTGAGCCTCTACTCTCATCCTTTTCCTCAATTTCCTTCACTTCACTTTCTTTCTCTTTGTTCTCTTCATTTTGAACCTCTTTGTTTTCTTCCTTCTCTTCTATGATTTCCTTGTCTACAATTTCTCTCTCTCTGTTACTTTCACTTTCCTCTCCACTCTGCCTCTCCTTTATCTCTTCACCCTCCTCTGTTCTACTCTCACTGTTCTCGTTCTCTCTCTGTTTGCCATCTTCTACACTCTCTCTCTCTTTGTTACTTTCACTTTCCTCTCCACTCTGCCTCTCCTTTATCTCTTCACCCTCCTCTGTTCCACTCTCACCGTTGTCGTTCTCTTTCTCTTTGCCATCTTCATCTTTTTCTTTGTTATCTTCCCTATCCTCCTCTTTGACTTCATTATCTATGCTCTTTTCAATCTCCTTATCTCCATCTACAGAATCCCCTCCATGCTCACCTTCATCTCTCACTCTCTCTTGATCACGTTCAGTTGATTCATCATCTCCGCGCCCCTTTCCTTCACTATCGCCTTCTTCAGGATTGCTTTTCTCATCAAAGGATTTGCTTTCTTCTTCTTCTTTCACCTCCTTGAGTCTATCATCATCAATGGTTGTTTCCTCCTGAGGATCATCATCGAGGTACTTTCTCCCTAACTTGACGTCCTCTGAAATTTTCGTTGATGCTGCTCTCTTATCATGGACTTGATGAAGCAGCCAGATGCAAATACCGAGCAATAGACATATCTGCAGAGCATGCTTTACCTTGAAACCTTGAGATTTCTGGTTTTTTGGAGGTGACATGATGGATTCCCTCAAATTTTAACTTGTATGAGTCAACCACTTCTTGCAAAATCTAACCCTTCAATTATTCCATTCAAGAAAAAGAAAATAATAATAATAAATTCAATAAAGTTACTCCAGTTCTGAAAATTCACACCGAAGAGAAACAAATAATATAAAAATATAAATGATAAATCTTCATGCAACCGATGGATGAAAATACTTCAATCAAGTACCTTGAAACCAAGCCTTTTGCTTTTCTTCACGTTCTTACCCATTATTTGTAAGCTCTGGAGCTCAAAATTTATATCTTTATATATAGTGCGTATCTGTAATTTTTATTCCTATTCTCTTTCATTTTTTTTTTTTTTTTTTTATTATTATTCATGATCGGGTGACTTAAAAGGAAATATTTTTATTCATATAAGGTTAGAGGATACCAAAGCCAGGGCCGGTTGGAACCTTAGGCGAGTTAGGCACCCCAACCAATAAAAAGACTTCAAAATTTTTTATTTATTCATATAAATTAGAACTTTCTTATAATATTTATTTCCTTCAATTATTAAATCTCAACTAGTAAAAATATTTGATAGTGGGTCTAAAAGATTATTATCATTTTTTTGAGGATCCAATATTTTTTTCTTTATATATTATAACTTACCTAAAATTTTTTTTTTCTTTTATTGTCAACCAACAAATAAATATAATAGTGGGCCCCAAATATTTTTATCCTTCTGTCACTTTTTTTGTCTTTTCACACTACATCAGCTCCACCTACATATATATTTCTTCTTGTTGTCATTACACTAACTATAAATATTAAATATCTATTTAACAATTGATAAAAGTTTTTATATTTTTCTAAGTTTCTTATTAATTTTTTTTTTTCCTCACATATTTTTCCTTCACTCTCATTTAAAATTTTCTTTTATTTTCTTTTCTCCACCTAGTTACAATTTACAATTTCACTATGTCACTCCCTCAAAAAAAAAAAAATTATATTACATTTTATCGTAACAAAGAATCTGTTAAAATATTGAACCAAATTTATCAAAATCAATTTCTATTATTTTATAATTTAAAATATTTTATAATTTTATTAATTTTTGTTATCATAAAATTGTATATATATATATTTTTTGGTTTGTGAATTGTCATCATGTTTATTCACATTGTTGAATATCTCTAGAGACTAAAAAAATCCTGAACAAAGCAATGTTGTTGGATCAAAATTGTTAAGAAAAGAACTTAAAAGCAAACAATAGTTACACTATTTATTTTCGGTAAATGAAAAATCGTTAAATTCATGTAAAGTCGATAGCTGCAAAAATTCTTACCTTGTATTGCAGTCCCAGAACCTGAAATAATGGATGATCAGACCTGCATACTCTATTGCAGATTTAATTGGGAAACTATGTTGTTGTTGAGGGGCGTATATAGTGGACCTCTATAAATACACAAACACAGGTAGGTCACAGAGAGCGAAGGTTGATACGTCTGTGTCCACCATTTCCTTCTTCTTGTCGACACCCCCTTCAATTCCCACGTCCATTTCAATTTCCTTATCCTCTCTCTTAAATATTGTCGTAATAATCCCATAGTCGCTGTTTTACGTCAACTTTCACATTAATCAATCATTTAATTTCCAGTAAAACACATGAATCAATCATTTTTCGTTTTTAATCCCACTAGCTTTTACCGTGACACGTTTCACCTTAAGGAGGAACCCCACTCTATATCGTTTTCTCTCTCTAAAATTACTTCACGCCTTCACCACGCTACAGCGGACCACTTAACCACAAACGTATCCAATCATGTCCTCGAAGCTTCTGGCTTCCGCGCTCCGCCAAACCTCGCTCAAAACCTCCACCTTCTGCTCCCCCTCCACCGCCGTCGCCGCCGTGTCTCCGCTGTACGCGACGGAAACATATGACGAAATTTCGATGAAAGGCGTGAGGATCTCCGGGAGGCCGCTTTATCTGGACGTTCGGGCGACTACCCCGGTGGACCCCAGGGTTCTCGACGCCGTGCTTCCCTTTTACATATCCCGGTTCGGCAACCCCCATTCCCTTTGAGGATTAGGGTTGAGCCCCAAATGAATGGGGGAGGGCAGGAGAGGGGGATTCGAAGAGGGACGGTCCCGACTCCGTTGGTTGTAGGGATGGGGGCAGCGTGCGAGGTGGACACGAAAGAGATGGAGTATGATGAGGAGAGGATTTCAAAGTTGCAGGAGAGGTTACTGAGTGGGATTAGAGCTAAGCTTGATGGTGTGGTGGTGAATGGGAGTGCAGAAAGGCGGTATGCCGGGAATTTGAACTTGTCATTTGCTTATGTTGAGGGAGAGAGTTTGTTGATGGGATTGAAGGAGGTGGCTGTTTCGAGTGGGAGTGCTTGCACAAGTGCAAGCTTGGAGCCCTCTTATGTGCTGAGGGCATTGGGAGTGGATGAGGACATGGCACACACTTCAATTAGGTTTGGGATTGGGAGGTTCACGACAGAGGCAGAGACTGACCGGGCAGTTGAGCTCACAGTGCGGCAGGTTGACAAGTTGAGAGAAATGAGCCCATTATACGAAATGGTTAAGGAAGGGATAGATATTAAGAATATACAATGGTCACAGCACTGATTTGCAAGATTGTGGCTGGGACGATACATGCAGGCAAGTTTGTGAAGCAAGCTGCCCAACCATATGGAGTACCAATGAGGTTAGGTTCATTCTTTCTTTTAGGATACTCTTTTGCATGATTTTTGAGAATTCTTAATTGTTGTTCTATTATTAAATTTTGCAATTGGGGGATGTTTCAATGGTTACACTGGTTATTGTGTACTCTATGTGGATTTTTTGATATTTTGGCAAAGGTAATTGTAGCATTATTCTTCTTCTTCAGACTTCAAATTTCGTTCTGCATAGTTGAGCTTTACTCGTTTGTTTGTTGTGCACTGCCAATTGGATTGCTCAGTACTTCCTCATATGATATCTCTTTGTGTATGTGTGAGTCCTGGATACTTGTATTTTTGTGGATGAATGATCTTTAGTACATAGGGCTGGCACTAGCAGGAGGTTTATACACACTGAAAAAAAAAGCCTCGGATAGGAATAGATCATTCCGTAGAGGAAAGGTGGTGGAGCATACTGCATACCCTTTCTTCGTCATTGGATTTCAATGTAATTATTGCATATATTTTGGGAATTAACTTAAAATCATCAGCACTGATTCTTCAAAATTTAGTAGTTGTAACATGGAACGGGGTTCTGTTCCTATAACTAATATCAGCATTGAATGATCTGTATGTCCTTTTTGATCTAATTGCTATTATTATATATAACTATAACTTCTGAATAATCTAATAAGATACTAAGATACAATAATCATGGTAATTTATCTTCAATTTGGAACTCCGAAGTACAGTTTTAGCAGGAAAAACGTGTAAAAGTAAAACAGTGATTCAGCAGTACAGTTTTATATGAAAATGTGTGATATACGAGGCTCCCTCCAAAGAGGAGCCGGCTCAAAACATTCCTTTACAAGAAGTAATCACGCTATTCTAAAATTTAACATGAAATTTGTAACTTTAAATTATATAACCGTAGTTAACTCTGTTGCATAAATAACGACATCACAGAAGGATATAATATGTGTGTGAGCATTTTATTTAGATATGTACATGTATATATTTGATTGACAAAGCTGCAACTCCAATATACTTTTTAGGATATATAGGATAGAAGACAATTCTTGCAATTCAGTGGCAAATGTGAGTCACATGGTAAAGTGAGATGTTCCTTTGAAGAAAGGAGAATCTAGGCTAAAATCTAGCTTAATTACAGGGACTTCGGCTAAATTTGAGCTTGAGGGATATATCAACGTAGGAATGGTCATTTTTTGAAGGGATGATACTTTTTACAGAACTTAATTACTAAAATGCTAAGAAGCATGGACACGGATACGGGACACGACACCGACATGGCGACACGGCAAATCCAAAAAAATTAGGACACGGATACGGCGGGGACACGGCGAATAGTGTATATATATATATATATATATGATGTAGTACTTTAAAAATTACTGAGTGCTACTATTTTTCATCAACCTCACAATGAAAAAAAAACACAAATCATAACTCATAACTAATAAACTATAAAAGAACAATGTTGCAGAGTTATAAAACCAAATAAAATACAAGACATTAGAATAATAACTAGTATCATTTAATCATTATTGTAACTTTACTCCAAATACAAAAGTATAGATAGAAAGGACTATTAACATTCATGACTGTTTGACATTCAGGACTTTTCTCATGTGTAATACTATAGCATAAGCTTTTGGGAAAGCCATTGGTGGGTACAAATTCTTGGTTTTAATTTCCTCATATTTATCATCTTTCAAGACCCAAAAATGACTCCATTTCTTAATTTTTTGCTTCCTCATCTCCATTCAATTGGGACTTGAATTATTATCATTTACTTATTTAAATATTTATTTATTGTATTTAAAATGTCAATGAAAATCCATGGTTCTGTTTATGTGGGATTTGTAATAGGTTTTGTGTTGTTCAATGGTCTCACATAGCATTATGGCCTTGCTTCCCTCTTAGAATCTAAATGGGTAAGGAGATGTATTTTCCCCTCTTATTTTGTCTTATTGATGTATACTTTCCTCTGTTTTAAGTAAGGTGCTAGACCACCCTAATGGAAACCTCACATTTTTTTTTTCACCAGGGGAAATGAATTTTTACATTAATGTATATACAAGTGCCATCACAAAGTGCTATCAAAAACCAATAAAAGGCTACAGGGGCCACAATGCCATGAGCAACCAACCCCAGCCACCAAAATTAACAGGTCCTGCAATATAGCATACCAGCAGAGCAGGACTACCCTGCCTATTACTATTCTATAGGGGGCCTCAATGGATGTTTAGATAAATGAAAGTCCCAACTCTGCAAGTTAATGGAAACCTCACATGGAAACCTTTTTCTGGGTTATTAATTAATCTTTTCCTCGAGTTTCTTCCTTTATAGGAAATGAAGTCCTATTCATTGTGATGTTGCTTGTGCTTTTTGTCAAACTTTTTGATATGATTGGATGCATTGGTTGCTCTTTGGGATATCAATTTTATGTTAGAAATAAGTTATGGTTTGAGCAAGTCTAGTACAGGCACAAGTTTAGCCTCCTCTCCTGTTTGTTGTGGGTGGAATGGATGGAAACGCTGAAATAGTTTATTTGTTTTTTGGGGGAATTGATATTTTGTAGCATAGAATTAAGTTGTGTATCTATTTAGGCTAATTCTCAAACAATTTGCGAGGTTTTTCATTTTTCATTGATTGGATGTTGGTTTCTTCTTTGCGTTCCCAAGAAGCAAAATAGTGATGGCCCTTGGAAGCATGTAAAATTTAACTTTGATGGATTCTCGTGGTTGTTGGATTCATAGAATTGTGGAAGTGAAAGATGGCCCTTGGAAGCATGTAAAATTTAACTTTGATGGATTCTCGTGGTTGTTGGATTCATAGAATTGTGGAAGTGAAAGATGGCTTTTCTTCCAGAAGAATGATATGGTGACTTTGGTGAGGATTTTATTTTATTTTATTTATTTTTTCTTGGGCAAATGAATTTGGTGAGGGATTGCTTCACTTGAGAGTTCATATTCTTCCCTGAGTGGTGTAGGGCGATGTCTTTTTTGATCTGCTATGGATGCTGCTGTATTTTTATTCTTTTTGGTATTTTTATCCGTGTTAAGTGGCTGGATGTCCAATGATGTTGTTTGCTACTATGGCATACTCAGGTTTGCATGATTTGTGTAGGATGCCTTCTTTTGGCTAGACTTGGTATGAAGGGATTCTCAAACATGTCATAGAAACTTCAAAGACGGGGAGAGACAATAGAACCTTATTATATATGCGTTTAAATTATAAGGAATGTATAAAATTGACATGTCTGTGTTTTCTGTGAAAATTTTGACTTCAGGAGTGTTACATTTCATGAACATTTAAAACGCAGGTAAAAATGCTTTAAAAACAAAATATAGATGGCTTTCACCTTCTGATTACGTCTTGGGTGTGTACTTCTTCTATTATTTGGGGTTAAACATATGTTTAATTATGGAATTCATATATATTTATGCATGTAAAAGGTATAGACGAGACCAAAATATCTGAATTCTCGAAGTTCCTTGTTATGACAGTATGCATATGCAAATACACAACAACACAAGACAGATAAAGGGAGAGCGAATTTGAGTGCGGGAGCGCTGAAGCGGCAAAATTAAGTCATAAATGGTGGAAATGGGAGCGGAGCGGAAGCATGTTCAAAGCGTGAGTGTAACACCTGTTGAAAAGAATTTATTTGACTTAGTTAAGAACTCAAATCATTTATGCATATGTTTAAAAACAATAAGGCAGAGGAATAATTTGCAAAGAAAATAAATTTAACAG